TTTCTTTTTTTTTTAATTTTTTAATTTTTTTTTTTTTTTAACTTATTCACCGTGCAACATGCATGGAATGACAACAAACATTCTTATTTACTTCGTCGTACACTCGTTTTGGTTTTGCGGTCCTTTTTTTTTTTTTTTTTGGATATCTCTTAGAATGGAACCAATCTCTGATTCAAGTATTATTATTCACATAGCTTCTCTTCCTTCACCTCTCCCTTTCTCTTTCTCTTTTTCTCTCTCACTTGCTTGTTCACTCTCTCATCCTTCTTAGGTTTGTCATCTGTCTTCCTTGTTTGTTCTAATTTTTATTATTTCTTTTATATTTCTTAAACTATATCAAATTTTAGATTCTTGGAAATGTATAAAGGAATGTAAGGAATGGAATTTAAATTTTTGTTCTGCTTTCAAGTAGTATTTGTAATATTTCTTTGTACATTTATTTGTAGTATGTGAAATAGATATATTCGTAAATCTGCTTCAAATTGTCTTGAAAAACTTGTATGTTTCTATAATTATAATAAATATCTTCTATTTCTTTTATTGCATGTTATCATCTTATTAGATATATATTTATTCTTTTTTTTTTTTTATTTTAATCAATATATTCTATCAATTATCGTACTTTGTGTCTTGATTGCATTATCAATTATAATAACATATATATATATATATATAACATATATATATGTATATTATTTTTCTTTAATGGTTTAATTTGTGTTCTATTCTAGTTCCATATGTTCCAGTTTAACTTTAAGATACTTTTTGTTGCAGTACCGGCAAGCAGTTAAATCACCACAACTACTTGCACATCAACAGAAGCAGAGATCTTTCTTGACCTTTGGATTTGGTGCGGGACCAGCTAGAAGGGAATCTCATGTAAATGTTAATGTGACACCGACCAGCCATGACCTTACATCTGATACACCTGAAATACGCAAATACAAGAAGCGATTCAACAGTGAAATTCTCTGTGCTGCGCTTTGGGGTATGAATGCATGAACACACGTATACACATCTCCTTAAGAAAACTTTTAACGATCAGTACAATATTTGCAGGAGTGAATCTATTAATCGGTACTGAAAATGGCCTTGTGTTATTGGATAGAAGTGGCCAAGGAAAAGTATATCAATTAATAAGCAGAAGACGATTTCAACAAATGGAAGTTCTTGAAGGACAAAATATTTTGGTTACAATTAGTGGAAAAAAGAATAGAGTACGAGTATATTATCTTTCTTGGCTTAAGAGTAAAATTTTGCGAACGGATGGGCACAGTGATGTAAGTTTTATGTTTCTTGATCTGTTATATATTATTGAAATCACATGTTAAATTGCAATTAATATTCGATATTATTGCAGCAAGTTGAACGGCGCAATGGCTGGATTAATGTTGGAGATCTTCAGGGTGCGGTACATTTTAAGATAGTCAAATACGAAAGAATAAAGTTTCTTGTCATTGCATTGAAAGATTCGATAGAAATTTATGCTTGGGCTCCAAAACCTTATCATAAATTCATGGCGTTTAAATCGTTTAGCGAACTTGCTCACAGACCATTACTTGTCGATCTTACTATAGAAGAGGGTTCGAGATTGAAAGTTATTTATGGTAGCGCCGATGGTTTTCATGCTGTTGATTTGGACTCTGCTACAGTTTATGATATTTATCTGCCAAAACATGTGAGTAAATAATATTCATTAAAATAATTAATCTTTATTCATGAATTTATTGTCGAAACATTTGTCTTTATTAATCATAGACTCAAGGCCCCATTTGTCCACATTGTATCGTTGCATTACCAAACAGTAACGGCATGCAGTTACTGTTATGTTACGATAATGAAGGTGTATACGTGAATACTTATGGTAGATTATCCAAAACCATGGTTCTTCAATGGGGTGAAATGCCCACTAGTGTTGCATATATCGGTACAGGACAAATTATGGGCTGGGGTAACAAAGCTATTGAGATTAGAAGCGTAGAAAGTGGACACCTTGATGGTGTGTTCATGCACAAGAAAGCTCAACGGCTCAAGTTCCTTTGCGAGCGTAATGATAAGGTATCCGTGAATATTTGTAATGATAATATATGCATGAATATTCATATATAATTTAACAATCTTTTAAATATATTTTTATGTACTTTTATATATTTTCATATATTTTTCGGTTATTTTAGGTATTTTTCTCGTCGGCTAAAGGCGGAAGTGCGTGCCAGATTTACTTCATGACATTAAATAAACCTGGCATGGCTAACTGGTGATCCCGAATATGGCCAAATCTGGCCCTCAAATTATCTTTACGAATAAGGACACAAAATCTTTCTCGTATATCGAGATACGCATCGTCGCCATTCATGTTAATTCGTTTTTCACTGCCAGGATTTAAGGCCATGGAAAGCAAGCAATGTTCGTATTGGAGTCAACGACATTATCAATATCATTTTCAGTCTTATTACAATTGTCATTATTATCATTATCATCGTCGACGTCGTCTTCGTCGTCGTCGCCGTCGTCGTCTTCTTCGTCTTCTTCGTTATCATCGTCGTCGTCGTCGTCGTCGTCGTAGGCGACGTCAACATTGTTATCGTCATCGTCAACGTCATCACCACCACTATTACCATCATCATCATCATCACCTCCACCATAACTATTATCATTTTTATCCACAAGACCATTATAATCTATATCGATATGTTTGCTCGAGTAATTGCACATTGATAAAAAAATATCAAACATTCAATAAAATATCTCAACAATATTTTCAATTGTTTTTGCAAAGTTTACAAGCGAAATTGTTGTTTTTAAATCATTTCGTACAAAAATTTTTGTGCTCTTTTAACTATTCATCTTACGTGATGCAACTTAGCAATTTATGAGAGAAAAAAAAAATGGTTCCTTCTTTACGGTAATATGCCTCTCTACAGAGGAAAATAAATAAGAATAAAATATATGCACAAACCGTTATTATATTGAGTAATAATTCATTATGTTTTTCCAATATTTGAATGTCATTATTATTAAATTTTTTTTATTATTTAAAAAGCGTAAATAAATAAAAAAAAAATAATATATATATATATATCATAAAATAATTTTAAAATCAAGACGAACGAGTCCAAAGTAAATCGAATCTTCCGAAATAATTTTGAAATTGTATAAATAATAAGTTATCAACGATTCGTAACAGAAATTATTATACTGTATTGTTTCAATAAGTGCAAAAGAATTGTGCAATATCGATGCTTTCATCTATATAAACAAGAAAAAAAAAAAAACTTTTCGTAATAAGTTTGTAACAAGTGGCTGAACTTTTCTATGATAATAAGAGAAATATGAACTGTCTCGATAGTTGTAAGTGCAAATACGCGAGCAAAATGCAGTGTGAATGGATTTTTGCGATTTACATTTCGAGAAAGAGAGAATATAGAGAGGACGCGCGCGCAAACTGAAAATAGGAGCAATGTATGCAAGGGGATGCGTGTAATGTATGTTTTTAAAGTAATTCTTGATTGAATGTATTTTCTTTCCACATTTATAAAGATTATAATAATTGACGTAACAATATCATTCTTCGAAAAAATTTCTCCCATGATATACAGTTAAATATAATCGTACATATTATTGCATCAAGTTTATAATAAGATCTTTTAAAATGGGAGAGCAATATTGTTTTTTAACAATAAAATAATAGGAAAATAGCGATGGACTAAAATGTTATAACTAAAATTAGGAATAAGAAAGTTAATTACTAATGTTATTAACTGTATAGTTTGTAGTAATCAATGGATTCGTATGTCCTATTTCTTGCAATTTAAGATAATGGCGATGACGATAATATCACGACGATGTAATATGTGGCGTTGGATAAATTGCATTTTTACGAGTAATAGATTTATGTTAACAGTTTTTGAGACATAAAGTGATAAGGTGCAAAGAAAACATTTTTCTATTTCATTATTTTTTCTAAGATTTAATATACTTTTTATGTTTAACTTGCACCCTCCTCTTTGCGAAAGGTATTCGATCGAATACAGTCGCATATTTTTTTATAAATAATCATAGAAACGCGTTCAATATTTAAATAAAGAACAATCTTGGTAAGGCGATATGCATAGGAAATGATATCTTTTCTTTTTTTTTTTTTTTTTTAATTATTCGTTCAATACTGTACAAATTAATGATTATTATTTATCCATAAATTCATAATTTAATGGGCAATTTTATTGATCGAATTGAATTATAAACGTTATACGTTAAAATTGTGGCTTTAATTATTAAAAAAATATTGTATGTATATCGCAAATATATTTTATAATTCCGAATAAGAATATTTTTACACGGAACTTTCCACTAGAGATAATTTTAGTTTGAATAGTTCTATGTGTAATTTAGATGAGTTTATTTTCAAATATTTTCAACTTCGTATCAAATTTAAATTGAGATAAGAATCGTTATGTAATTTAACGTTTTATCTTTTCTTTTATAAACTGCATTGAATCATTTATATAAATCGTGTATAAAATATTTGTTACATATAATAAGCACTTCGTCTAAACTGTTGAATAATTGTAAAATTGTAATTTCATAACATGAGGGTGTATACGTGATATAAAATTATTTTTTATTGCTTAGAAGAGTAAACGTTGAATATTTGGTTGATGTATTATTTCAACTGAAAAAAAATAAAAAAAAAAATCTGCAGCAATAATGTATCAATTAGGGCAAGTTTCGAATTTTGATAAAAAAAAAAATACTTAATGTACACTCATTTATTTATTTGTATATAAATAAATATATGACGTGGTATGTGATAAATGATCAATACGTCATACTTATTTATTTGAATGCGTTTCAAAACATTTTTACGATGTTCCTGGGTATAATATGTTTAATTTCTAATGATTTTTTTTTATTTTGAACATCGAAACATTGGAAAAAACGCATTCATAATAAGGTTAGATGCAAAGAGGAGGACATCTAGCTAGTGCAACGAAAGACTGTTTTTTTGAACGAGAAAAAGAGTTTCTATTGCGCTGGGATGGAAGGAAAGGAACAGGGAGTGATAAACAATTGCGCGCGCGCGAGAGTATGCGAGTAAGAGAGAGAAAATAGAATTTCTAGTGAATGCTACACGTATGGACGGTCATTTACAAATAATAGGGATTCCAATATTATAACGATAATATTGCTACCTGTAACGGATTCGCGGTTTAATTTCGTGCAAGAATTCCTCTTATTCTTTTCGTCACTTTCGGTTCCTTTGGTTAATACTATGTTCCATCCATTATTTTTACTCTTATCATCTTGCACATTGTTTCCCAAAGATGGTAGTGATGATTTTTTTTTTTTTTAATATTATATTAATTATTACTTTTATAGTTTATAATTGCATTATTGTTGCGATTATTCTATCTATCCGTACGCCATTATGAACCATCACCATGGTATATTATGATTACAATGATTAAAATTACTACTATTATTACTATTAGTAAAGTCAAATATACGGACAATTTGTAATTGATACGTTAGCAATTTTTTTTCGTGTATCCTATATATCATAATTAGTACGATATATTTCCTATAGCTGTTTGTAATAAAAAAATTTGCAAACTTTTATAGTAACAGGAGAATTGAAACAACCAATTGCAATCATTAATTTCAAACATGGAAAATACTTATATATTTAAATAAAAGGAAAGTTGAAAGGTATTGGCAAGAAAAATTCATACATATAATTAACTATTTATAACTTTTATTTGTTTATAATTTTTTCATATATTTTTGCGACATATCGATTGTTATTATACATTTAGAAGATTAATTGAAAAAGATAAAAATTTATAAGTTATATCAAGCTATAGTATTTTTTTCTTATATATAAAAATAAACTTAGAGTAATAAATTTTAATAAATTAAAAATAATAAATTATAACATTAATAAATAATAATATCTATCGATCCCGTAATTTCTAATCGTGTCAAAAGTAAATATAAGATAAGGAGAATAAAATAGCGAGAGAAGGATAGAAATAGAATAAAAATTCTGAAATCAGCGCCATCTTCAGAGTGCCGTAAATGAAACTCAATACACAAGGATAGAAAATAATAAGAAAAAGATAGAGATAGGATAAGAATTAATCATTAGTGCCATCTCTTAAGTGCTAAAAATACTAAATAAAGTAGAATAAGAATTGAAGACGAACGCCATCTCTTGAATACTTTTATAATTTTTATAATGATACTTCGAAAAGCATCTAAGAGATGGCGGTAATGATTGATTCTTACCATATCTCTATCCTTCTTTTATTATTTTCTGTCTTTACTTTGTATGTTTCATTTGCGGCACTCTAGAGATGGCGCTGATTTCAATATTTTTACCCTATTTCTATCTTTCTCCTACCATTTGCTCTCTTTGTCTATACTCGTCCATAATGAAAAATACGCTCGAGGATATTTGATTATATGAACCGATATCTGATTGACTTTATCGTCATCTATGCTATTTCTTTTAAGCTTTTATTCAACATTTAAATTTATTTTGATAATATGTAATATTATTATGATATAATATACTAATTTATCTTTATTGTACTCTTTACAGATGGATCTCGATGCGTAATCACTTTCTCGTTGGTGAGATCCGGTAATTGGTATCTCTTTCTAAAGATTTTTAAACATTTAATTTTAAATAAAATTTTATTCGAAAGATTCGAAAAAATTACATTGAAAAATACTTACTTTTCAGAAAATGATGCCAAGCTAAGAACTACGCATTAGTTTAAGTCTAGATCCTGCGAGATTTCTTTTGAATATTTTGACCATCTATAGATATCGCATTATTCGCGTTCTTCATTACACATTAGGATATCATATTGAGGATTAGATATAATTTCCAATTTGTAATTAGGTAATTCAGATAGCAATGATCATCGATCTAATGTAACACAAAATAATATTCCTAATTTATCATATGCTAACATGTCAATGTTAAATTTAATTCGAGACGTGTTTAATTCCGTTATAGTTAAAACTTTTTGTTTCAAACTTTTGAATTATAGTCAGTTAGAGTTTATTTTTTGCT